TCAAACCCACAAACACCACCAGTTGCTGTAGAAATGTTCGTCAGATGTCGAGTTCTTTCGAGGCCCTCCTGGTAGACTTCTTAGAACTTTGAACGAATGCTTCTGCCACTAACTGCCTGTTCTCCTCTGTGCACACACTTCTGGGTCGACCAGATTTATGAACATTCACAATTGAGCCAGTGGCATTTAATTTATCGCGGATGTGATAAATCGACAGCCTGCTTGGAGGCGAGATCTCGAACGTTTCAGTCCACTCCATCCTGATAGTCTCAGCCTTTTCTGATTTCCAATAATGTTTCAGCACCCTCTTCCGTTGGTCATTAGTCAGGTTACCAGCCATTATCTTCTTATCGCCTAAAAACAATTTAACATATTCAACATATGCAACTCAACAGATTCTGCAACTCAATAGATTCAACACACGCAACTCAAAACAATTCAATAGAATCAACACATGCAACTGCATACCTACTTTTGGGACATTCTGTATATAAAAACGGAAAAGTTATTAATAAAAATAGGACTGATTAAGATAAAATCGAACAAATTTGAATCATATTTTTTTACTAGTTACAATAATTAAACACTAATTGCGTGATTGTAATAAAATATATAGTTTGCAAACAACGTATTCATAATAATTGACCTTATGTACTTTGTGTTTGGTAGTTTTCATTATTTTTTCTCACTACTAATATTGTGGCAAAATAACAGAGTAAACCCTAAATATTTTATTTGTTCCGAGATTTTATATAATTTTGGTAAATAGGTCCAACAACAAAAATTTATTTCATTTATTTTTCAAAACTTCAATCATTAGTATTATGAAATTGGAAAGAAAGGAATTTTAGGGCTTACATAAATGACACTATTTATTATATTAGGGATGCTGGCAAGTAATGTCGTTTTTGCTACCTTAAATTCACACGTTTCTAATTATGTGCTTTCGCTTTTTTTTCAGGTGAATTGGATTTAATAGACAAAAGAACCCTTCTTGTTCATCAATTTTCTGTTAACAAAAATAGTTTTCCTCTAATAAAACAAAATTACTGATCACATTCCTAACGAGAATCACATTCGACATTGCATGGTCTACGAGTTTTATAAAGGTAACAAGGCAACGGTGACAACCAAAAACATTTGTGGGTTTATAAAGATGCTTTGAGTGTCCGAAAATTCCAGCACTGTTTTAAAAAATTTAGGTCAGGTGATTTTGATCTTTCACATTGCCATCGTTTAGGGAGACCAGTAGAATTGGACAATGACCTCCTGAGGTCAGACCCCCGCCTAACGTTCAAAAACATCCTAAACAGATCAGGAATATCAATAGACAAGGAGTTTGGGTTGCACACAAACTGTCAGATGATAACAAAGCCCAGTACATAACAATTTGTAATTCATTGATAACCAGACATGAAATAGAACAATTTCTTCATCGGATTGTTACAGAAGATGAGAAATTGGTTCTTTATGTCAACAAGAATTAGTGGCTAAGCCCTAGTTTGAACCATATTCTGACAGCCAAACCAGGTATATACTCTCAGATCGTCTTGTTGTCCGATTGGTGGGACAGAGTCGACATAATTCATTTTGAGTTATTGAAATCGAATCAGAATATAACTGCAAACCTTTATTGTCAACAGTTGGACCGTTTGCACCAGGCTCTCATTGAAAAAAGGCCAGCACTGATCAACACAAATGAGGTCATTATGAATCGTGAAAATGCGAAACCATACTCTGCAAGAATATCTCAAAAACAATCAGAGATTTGGATTGGGAAGTCCTGCTTCACCCTCCATACTTCCCTGACATTGCTCCTTGAGATTACCATGCATTCAGATCTATACAGCACCTTTTCAGTGATAAAACATTCAGAAATATTGGTGGCATCGAAACTGCTCTCGCAGAATTCTTTGTCTTAAAGGAAACTTTCTTCGATCAACGAAGAATTAAAAGCTTAATTGAAAGATGGCATATTGTCATTAATAATAATGGGGATTATGTAACTAAATGAAAAATAAATACTTACCTTTAAAAGATCTTATACTTTATAAGGAGGGGGGGACATTTACATTCTGGTACCCCTGATAAAATCACACGCTTCCCTGTAATATTGACGAGACCCAAGAATCGAATTACATCAATGGCGCTACCGCGTGACATAAATTAGAACTACCGCATCTAAGATTTTTTCCTTCTGCTAGTTTCATCACGATGGGTTCGAAGATTTATGATTTTTAAGCCTACATCGTAGATAAATATGCTAACTGCTAGTATGTATATGCTGCATTATCATTTCATTATTTTAATATATTTTTTGTGACTCACTGAACAAGCACTTTTCATTAAAAACGGCATAAGAAAACTGCGTACATAAAGTAGAGGTATCAACTGTATTTTTCACACCTTTTATCTCAACCAAACTTGGAAAGCACCATTAGGGCTATCTGGGAAGTGACGTAAGAAGTCAGTGTTCTATTGTGACCGGAGGATCGTATGTGTTTCTCTTGCGTTAAAGTGGTACATCAACTGGTTAGATACAGTCCACTAGTTTTTTTGTAGGTGTTAACATCTCTAAAGTTGTAGTAAAAGTATTTTACTGATGAGACTAGAATGTCTAGTTAATCACCTCTAACTTATCAGTCTTAAATGCTAGACTATGACTGACTCAGGAGTGTCTAGACGTGTTTTCATGGTTATCCTTGACTGCAGTGGTATTAGGGTGTTTTCTACCTTCTTATATTAATATGGAAATGTTTACAAAATTTTTGTTTAGTCTGATTCTTTGCATAAAAATGTGGCCCAGAAAACCATTATGTTGAATTCATTCTAGCTACCTTTGTTTTTCTTCAGAGATAATACCTGCTCCATCTGTCGGGGTATTACTGCAACTATGCACACTGCGGAAGCACGCCATAAACAGCAGTCTTTTATTGGCCACACAGACGTCTAGTGGTTACGGTCTTCACTATGTTATATGAAAATGGCCAGTCACGTAAATTTCACCAGTCATTATGGGTAAATCTGATATTTCCTTTTAAGTATGGAGCATTGGATTAACACAGTTCTACTTAGGTTTCAAAACTTGCGATACAATTGCTGACTGATTCAATGATCTGAAAGCAACAGGTCTATGCAAGTATGCACTGTTTTTGTTTAATGATATAAATAAAGATTGTTTTACGCTTTAAACCACGTGTCCAGACTATTTATTCTCTTAGCTTAAAACACATTCGTTTGGTCAATTTCAGATTTACTTTGTAATTCTCCTGCACGAATCTCCTGTTATAAAGTGGACTTACCAAATACTATTTCAGAAAATCAGTTAATTTGAGAATACCACATTACTAGCTTATGGTAAAAAAATAACCATTCTAAAAGACAGGTTTTCTTGTCATAAAATGTTGCGAAATTGAAAAAAATTATTTCTCATCTTTCTCCAAAATATAAACTAAAAATAAATTGATATTATCTCTACACGAACTTTTAATTATATCACTTCCAAAATTCAGTAACATTCTTCTTTAGTTTATGTAACTAAACAGATATCTTTCAATACACTAAGGTACGTTTAATAAACACTGTATCACACATGTTGAATAAAACTGTGCAATTGTGCCAAAATGGTTTCTTCTAGTTTTTAACAAACCCTATTTTGGTTGCTAAGGTATAACTTGAACTGTTAAATTGTGGCATGTTAAAATAAATTTGGGAACACTGATACACATTTTGAACCTTGTGTTCCCATACACTGTATAAACATATTTGATGCTATATTGCAGGTTCTAAGTACAATAAACATGGTAAGTATTCTATTTCAATAGTATCTTTTTGGGGAAATGTTTTGCATGTTAATCTAACTGTGTCCAAAAATATCCAAATAGAATAGAAAGCAAATAAAGTTGTAATCATGTAGTATCATGTTTTCTGACAAATAAGGGTATGGACAAAAAAAATTTTCCTTGCAATACCAACCAAATAAACTTAATATTGCAAGTGTGTTGTTCAGATGGGGTCAAACATTAGAAAACCCATGCTCATAATTTTTCTTAGGAGTGAAAAAAAAAAGAAACACAAATTAAAATAAATAATGTTATTGAATGTTACTAAGTTAATATTAGTTTCTTACAATGAGGGCATCTTACATGTATCATTCAATTATAATTAGCTATAAGTGAGAGGAATATTCAACATTGATAAGAAAAATGCATGAAATGATGTTTTACATAATGATATGGGCTGGGTTTCAACACAGGATGTTGCACATTTTATAGAATCACTTAAACAGAACAGTACCTGTACAAATCATGTAATGGATGGCACTTCACATCAGCTGCCAAAATCAGGATTAAAATTACTATACGAGTAAAAATCAAAGTAAGCCAATCCTGATAAAAAAAATAGTGTTAATGGATTTGTGATAAATTAATTAATCCTTGATATAGTATTAACAAACTAACCATAATATAAAACTTCAGATGTTTTGTAAGTCAATAGATATAAAAATATTTCTTCAAAGTCAAGTAAGAAGGGTTGAACACTACTGTGTAATTATAAAAGTCCAAGAAATTTGACATGTAAAGTATATTATTACAATTTAAAAAGAATTAGACTAAACATGGTTGTGTACAGATCCACTAAAGTAAGCAGAAAAATGTTAGCATCCAACCCAAAACATTTAGGGTGAAAATTATTCGAGAAAAAACCAGTCTTATATAGATGATCTTTATAAAAAGTAGTTACAAAATACAAGAAACATTAGCCCCCACCCCACAAACACTTTTAGATTTACAAGATATTAAGAGAAACATTTTTATAGGGTATGTATCTTAACATAGTGTATAATGGTTTTCATATATTCAACCTTACTGTTTCAAAACACTTTAAAGTTATTTGGTATAATCACAGGATAGTTTGTTGAGACAAATATGTAAATGAATGCATGCTTTCTGCAATTATGTTGGATTTAAAAGAAAAGCAATTTAAACATGACACCAGTGTGATCACGCAAATAGGTTTATTTACATTTGTAGAAGTGAACAAATCAAAGTATAACAAATCACAGCTTATAATGAAGTACTGAACATGGCCCACCTGAACTGTGCAAGTGCTGAACTTTCACAATTAACGCAAGAAAAGTAAACATTGTTTCCATCTAATTTACTTGTATGTTACAACACAAGTAAAACGGGTGATTGATAAAAGATTTATTTCTATAATTATTAATAGTCAGAGCTAAATTGATGTTTGTCTGAGAAAAAATAAACATCATATGGTGTCAGTCTATTATATAAAATATTTCCTTTCAGAACTGACCAAAGTTGTTTAAGTAACGAAAATTACCTACCTGAAATTTTTTATCTTATATCAGTACAAGATAATAAAATTAAAATTTATTTATTAACAGGACTAATATACAGTTTGACCAAACAAATAAAGACACAAGCAACAGAAATTTAAGAGATCTATTTTTACATAGTTAATGTCACCATTTCCCCCTTTTTGACCAATCTTTAGGTGTCCAGTGTAAACACTTTGGATCAATGCGTAATGGTCGTTTTAATGCAGCTCTTTCAAAAGCTTCAATAACATCCCTTGTAAGAGTAATGATGTACTGGCCCTTGTAGTAGTTAATAAGGTTCAGGTACTGTAGTGTTGAGATCACATCTTCTTTCTTGATACTGGTCAGTTCGGAAATTTCACTGAAAAACAAATCATTTATTACTATCATGTATAAAACTACGTAAACTTCAAACAAATAAGAAAAAACGGAGGCATTCTCAGAAATCAAAATGCATCTCATAAGCAGAGTTTAAACACATTACAAAAAATTTCATGATTTTCAAGGATCTTGGCAAAAGATTCATAAACCAGATAAGCAGGACTTACAAAGGCAGAATATGTTAAATAATAATAATTAACACTTTCAAGACAGGTCATGGGTGAAAGGCCATGTCATCTTGTTTGTTGACTCAGATTCAAAATTTTATTGAATTAGTATTTCATGAATTTACGTCAATAACTTTGGTATCAAACTGTAGATTATAATTCAAATTTTTGTACTATATATTACTCAATTTCTTATTTAAAAGTAAATATTAAAAAACACATAAGCATCGATTTATGTGTCACATGGTATGTTGAATGAAGCACTGATTCAAATTAGATGTCTGTGAAGTCAAGATGCTAAGTCAATAGTTTTGTACAAATTAGAAACTCAAATTATTGACAAGCTACAATATAAAATAAGAATCTCTTATCTTTTCTATTTGCTAAGATATTACTCATGTAATAAATCAAACATAGTGACACCCCACCACTACTTTCTTGTCTCACCATAAAAACTCGGACTTCTAAACACTTAAAAATGTTCCTAATCTATGTTTTTAGACACCTTACTTGATAGTTATTTGTGGTTTTTCTCCTGCCTCATTGGGCTTCAAATTCAAAAGAATTTCTAAAATAGTTTCTGACCAATAACTTCTATAGGACAGCAACCCGAGATCAGATAGAGGTTTTTCAGGAGAACCAGCTTTTCCTTCAAACTTAGACAGTTCATAACCTACCACAAAAATAATTAGTCACATTTTTTAATGAGAAAGAAAAGTGTTACATGTCAGATTATTTAGTGTGAAGTGTTTTGAGACACAAACTAATAGAGCAGCAGCTGAGAAAACCTTTTAAATAAATCAGTTCTATTGCAAAAACGTTATAAGTTTTATCTTGGAACATTAAAAACAAAATACTACAAGAAATGAAAATTCATGTGAATCACAATTACAAACAGACATTTTTTTATGCAATATTGATTATTAAAGTTTAAGACAAATAAGATTATTTTACTCAAAATCCCAAAGGAATGGTGAAACATCCTCTTGTTGTCTCTTTGTACTAGCCATTTACACACCAAAGGATTGCCACTGACATCTCTTGAAGTTTCCTTCTAACAGTGGAAATGCTCAACTAAGTTGCATGGAACTTGCAAATTATGGCCATTCCATGCCAAATTACGCAAAATCCAGAAATTTTCCCGAGTGACCATCTCAGATTTTTATTAAATTTCATCCAAGTGCACTTCTATGATGGCTGCATGCAAAATTTCAGTGCCATATTAGGGAGCATGGTATTTATTTTTTGCATTTGCTACTCTGACAAGTTGTTTTGGAGGATTTTATAGTGCTAATAAATTTCTATATTTTGAAGATATTAAGCTGCAATTTGCTATAATACCTAATTCATATTTGGAAAATCTGAATATCAACTCATTTTTAGTATATCCTTTATAGTTTCAGAGGTGGAGACACCTTAAGTTGAGCTTTTGCTCATTCTAGAATATATTTTTTCAGATTTCAGGGTACCATTATCACCTGATCAAAACACTAAATGTAGGTGCTTCTTTGAAAGAAAGCGTATCTGAACCAAGTCCAATATTAAAATGTAACTAGGTCCTAGTATGAGAGAACAGAAAAATCCAAAAATTGTGCCCTCATACCATAACCACTCCTCTTGAATTCAATTAACCATAACCTGATAACTAATCAGAATTTGATACTGAAAGTTTACAAGCAGCTATCAATTTCCACATTTCCATAGGTGTACATTTGAGTCAAATTTCAAAAAAATTGTAGATAGTCACCCAGGGACGTTTTAGTGAGTTGGCATGAGTTTTCAATTTAACAGATTCACATAATTTGTTTTTCTAGCATTTTTCAGGTTGTGAAATTTCTACAATTCTATAACACTTTAGAAAAAGCATTAAGAATACTTTATTTTATGTTATAATTGCATATTTTTTGTTGATCTGAAAATTTTAATTTATTTATATATATATATCTAGTTAGTTTCAACTTCATTAATATTTAATAACACATTTCTTTTGATATTTTTTTTGACAATTTCAGTAGTTGCCACTTCCAGTTATAAAAAAAAAGGCAAATATTTATTGATTATCCAGGATATGACTTTTCAAATTGATGTTATCATGACATTCATCAGACTAGTTAACACTAGTCTTGGTCAAGATCAATTTATATCTAATAAATATAGTTTCATGTCAATAAATTCTTTTATTCAGGTGTATTATTTCAATACAAAAACCATAATAATAATGTTCAATAAATAAATATTTAAGATATTGGAATATTTTGTTATTGTCTACCATGCTTGCTAAACCTAATTAAACTTACTTGATGTCTTATCATTGGAGAAAATTTCTGTACCTTTCAAACACATAATTTAACATAAAAGTAACTTCAGGAATGAAAAAATGTCTAAAGAAGCTATACAGAATCCACAGTTATGTGGTTTTTTTTCTACGTCTCCTAACTGTACCATTAAATTCCTTACTTTATTCCATCAGGATTTTTGTGTAGACACTTTCCCATGAAACCATAGGTTATTGCTCATTTCACTTTATTTTCTCTACACTGATGTAAATAGTGTATTATCTGCTCTACCTAATCATATTTAAACACAGCATATGTTTCATTAGTAATTATGTAGGCTACATGGTGCAACAAATAGTTTACTATTTGCTCTACCTAATCATTTAAACATTGCCTATGTTTCATTAGTAATTATGTAGGCTACATGGTGCAACAAATAGTTTACTATTTGCTCTACCTAATCATATTTAAACACAGCATATGTTTCATTAGTAATTATGTAGGCTACATGGTGCAACATATAGTTTACTATTTGCTCTACCTAATCATTTAAACATTGCCTATGTTTCATTAGTAATTATGTAGGCTGCATGGTGCAACATATAGTTTATTATTTGCTCTACCTAATCATTTAAACATTGCCTATGTTTCATTAGTAATTATGTAGGCTACATGGTGCAACATATAGTTTACTATTTGCTCTACCTAATCATTTAAACATTGCCTATGTTTCATTAGTAATTATGTAGGCTACATGGTGCAACATATAGTTTATTATTTGCTCTACCTAATCATATTTAAACATTGCCTATGTTTCATTAATAATTATGCAGGCTACATGATGCAACATATAGTTTATTATTTGCTCTACCTAATCATTTAAACATTGCCTATGTTTCATTAATAATTATGCAGGCTACATGGTGCAACATCTTAAAAGAGTAGGAATGAAAGGCTGTATTAATAAAACCACAAAATGAGAAAGAAAATCAAACGAGAAACACGACGTAAATGATTATAATCTCAAGGGATGATAGTTTCTTGAATATAAACCTATAATTTAGGTTTGGCATAAAACATTCTACATATATAAAATCTACAAGCATGTTGTTTAAGGTTAAGGCTCATTGGAGCTTCACAGAAATGAAAGTAGATCATTTAAAAAAATTTTTTATATGAATTACATTAAAGAATATTACAAAATATCAATTTTAAAATAATGTTGTATTAAAATCTGTAAAACAGAACTATTATTTTAACTTAAATTTTTAAATTTAATATGTAAGTGTGCACTTGACACCTGAAAGGTGCTCTGTAGTCCGATAGGGTTAATCCACAGTGTTTTGTATTTACAATAAAAACAACTGATTTTATAATTATTATCATTACATCAATAACTTGGAACCATTCATTGTGGACTGACTTGGATTTAGTCATTGATACCCGATTTCAAAGTGATATCATTATTTTTTACTCATTTTAAATCACCAACACCCTTCTTTTAAGTAAGTTAATTGCAGTGAATGACAAGCAAAGTGTTAATATTATTGAAAGATTTTGCAAGTTGTAACAAGGCTAGACAGATTAAAAAATTTTTAAAAATTAAGCAGCAAAAAACCAGCCCAATATTTTGCTTTACATAGTAAAAATTCTTTATTATATAACACAAAAGTTTAACATCTTGAGGATTGCAGTTCACAGAATATTTGAATACAGAAAAACATGTTAACTTACTAAACTGAATTAAAAGTTTCCCATAGCCTCTTCTTTGATATGGTGGTAGAGTTAAAATACAAGCAACATTATAATCTTCAGAAGATTCCTTCTCCTACATATATATAATAAATAATAAAAAAAAAAAACACTTTAAATTTCATTTATGTTTTTTCATACAAACTCTAACATAAGTACAAGCATTTTATTCATGTTATTCAACCATATTCTTTTGAAACTTAATAACCAAACAAGAAAGAAAGTTATTCAGCAAACAACAAAATGTTTTTTTAGCATAAAGATACACGACAATCTATCTGTGTTCTGGTTACCATGGAAATTTAACCTAGGATTTCAAAGTTTAAAGTCTGCCAATTTTGCCAATGACATTGCAAAAGCAATTTTGTCATAACTAGTTTGAAATGCTATATACCAAACCAAATTAATTTATATACAAATTACAGATAAGTAATATAAAAATTAAATAACCATACCAATCATCTACCAGTATGCTTCAGGTTTACCAGTAAGATTTAAATTCTCAGAGGAAGCTAATGTTTTTGATCTCGTTTAATAAAAATGCAAACACGATCAATTCTTATATCTCAAAAATCTAGATATAAACATAACTGCCTTTTAAATAAACAAAGATAAGGATTCTCTGGTAAAGTTCTATCCTTATTTTCTTCTTGGACTGACAGCAACTGTTTTCTTTACCTTAGAAAAGTATCCCACTATGTGGAAACCCCTGTTATCTCCTTCAGTCATTATGTAAAACAGGAATGGATCAGTATCATAATAAAGAGTTTTATGATCCAGGAAACATTTGGCCAGTAAACACAAGTTCTGGGCATAAACCTGAAAATTAGAAATATACAAGAGCAGTACGATCACCCACTTGCTTAAGGTTGTAAAAGTCAAAAGTAGAAACAACAAAGTTATAATATGGTTTAGAGGCTCGCATACAAAAAACATGACTCAAATCACTCGAGAGTTTATATTAATATAGTGCATACACACACAAGTATGTTTTAATTTAGTTTTTCAGTCACCAAAAAGTTCAAGGCATTTGCTCTAACAACATAATAACAATGGTGACATTCGTGTGATCTACTTCATTAACTGAATTAAGTAGATCTTATCAAGCCATTAATACTCATTTTTTACCAAACAGAGGATTGAAATGGTAGTTACATGATTTGCCCAGGATAATGGAGAGAAAAGAAAATACCAGGACCAAACTGTCATTTTCAAGGATCTAATTTACTGATTTTAACAAAAGGTGAACTCCTTTAAATCAAATAACCAATGTTTTATTATTTTTATAAAAAATGCAGTTACAAAATTTCTAGCAATAACAGTAACACTTGAGCTATAAAATAACTTACTTAAGCAAAAAGAAAAATACTATTAATCAAGCTGTTAAAAGAAATTCTAAAGGAACAAAGCACTAAAAATTCTTTATCATTTACAATCTCTTTAATATATACTTTCACAATTTCAGTCTAACCATATATGTACAGATTGGGGCAAAGTGTGCAAGCCATGACCTTTTACAGAGTGCCATTCAATATGGTATTATGTACTTCATGTCAGAGTTAACAACTATTTATTTTACCATATGTTGACAATTTAGCAAGAGTTCATAGCAGAGTTCAAGATATAGTGTATAAGGATACAGAAAAAAAAAAACTGTAGATACACATTTCATGACTTCTATACGTTACACAAAAGCAATATGCAAACTGCACAATGGACAAAAGTATTTTTAATTTTTCACATGAACTTTACCTTGCACTGTGATCTGTCAGAGTCTGATTAACATGATCAATTCACAGATATATCATGAATACAAACACCTTTGTAACTCATCTGCTTTTTGTGTACAACAAAACTGTACATTTTACTAAAAGCTGGCCACATTTTGTTTACATAAATATAGTACATTTGGAATTATGTTCTCTATTCTTTCTCTTATTCGGGGTTTGTTCAATGGATCAAGCCCGTGCACATTTGATTAATATAAGTGATAAAGCCTTTTGCCAAAATGCTTTTAGCATGTAACAAAAACCAAATGATATTTACTGAACATGTTATTTCAACTTGTCAATCAGCTTGTAGCTATTTGGTCATCATGTCAATCAAACATAATCAAAGATTCACATTCATATTGTTGCTGAAACTACTCTCACATTTTTTCACTCATTAACAATGTTGTACATCTTGTGATTTTTCCTCACAATTGCATTTAATTATTTTCAAATGCTTTCTCTGTATATTGCTAGAATTCCACATAACAAAGAACTGGAAAACTTATGGATCACTCAAACCTATACATTTCAAAGTGATGTTTAGCATGTAAGTTTTCTTGTATGATAACATATTTACGTTTAAAGGAAACTCAAAACAATAATTGTTCTAAATAATTATTTATTTGTTGTCAAGGGTGTTATCATGTGCATCAATCATCACAGGATATGATGATTATAAGTCATGAACCATTTTTTAAAGATTATTATTCATTTTAATTCTGAAAGAAAAATTAATAAGAAGAATACAAAGATATAAAACTATATTAATAACATACATTAATATACTTTACTTACAGTCCTGACTGCCTCTGCCTTTTAAAAGTAGGAAACTTCCTTAAAATATCTTGTGACTCATAAAATATATCATGTACTAGAATGTTATACAGATATGTATATAGTAAAACTCTGCTTAGCACAACCCTGCTTTAACCCTTCCATTATGGGCTGGGGGAATTCACCCAGCTCATAATCATTAAAGTTTGTTTTTGTTTTCTTGAATTTTGTGCAAAGCTACACGAGGGCTATCTGCGCTAGCCGTCCCTAATTTAGCAGTGTAAGACTAGAGGGAAGGCAGCTGGTCATCACCAACCACCACCAACTCTTGGGCTACTCTTTTACCAACGAATAGTGGGATTGACCGTCACTTTATAATGCCCCCACGGCTGAAAGGGCGAGCATGTTTGGTGTGACGGGGATTCGAACCCGCGACCTTCAGATTGCGAGTCGAGTGCCTTAACCACCTGGCCATGCCGGGCCCACCATTAAAGTATCCATGAGAGTAATTATACTATAATTTTTGATAATGTATGCACATCTTTACAAAATTTTGCAGATTATTGGTAAACATTGCAAGGTTTTCATACAGAAATTATCAGGTTTTTAAATTAAGTATTAAGATTTTTTTAATTAAAGATTTTCTCATAAACCTTTTTCTTTCAGAATGTTGACTATCCAACATGCAAAGCAATTTTGATTTTAAGATTAAAAATACTTTAATGCATTAGAACATTTTAAAATTTCACATGCAAATTCTATATCTCCAGATAATTATCAATACTTTTTTAGAAAAAACTTTATATTATATTTGTTATTTTCACTACTGTATTTCTGTAGGGGTTGGTTTGATTTGATCAACTTCATAACCTCAATGAAAAATTAGGAAAAAAAATTATGCCTTTTTCATTCTAGAATGACTACGAATTATAGCACAAAAACACAAATGTTTAGTCTAAATAGCTTAAATCTCATAACATTGTACAATTATATATATATATATTTTTATTATACTTACCATCCAGCTGTGCCTGGCTAACAATACAGAAGTTCCAATGACGCGACACTCGTGTAATCATGTTACCATATTAAATAACATAAAATTGACCTTTGGTCTGTACAAAGTAACTTGTCTTAGTTGTGTTTTAGTAGACTAGTATTTTGTAAAATACAGTCACATTTCATTATTATACATTATATATGTATATACATTAATACTAGTAACAAATAAGTTCTTAAACTTATTTTTCTTAAACATAGAACAGTAAATACAGAAGTAAAGAAAACAATTATCTCTTCTGGTTACAATCTTTGTACTCGTTTGTCATAGGTTGCTAAGCCTTATGAAATTTCTCACGTGGAGGATGTGAAAAGAAAACTTTTAAAGGT